CCTCTTAAGATTTTGATAGTTTGGGAGAAACTTCACATCTACAAGCATTCTGACAACGTTTGAGATCTTCCAGACAAAAGCTTACATTAGTACTCTAAATTATGTCAATTTGATTAATTTAGAAATACTTATGCTAATAATTTGTTGAGTCACTTGAATTTTTATCATTCCTATGCTTGCCATAACTTTGAATACGATTCTATCTATTTATTAATAAATTCCAAGTTTATTTTCTTTAAATTCAATTTATTTGAGATTCAATTTATTTTCGAAAATTCAATTTATTCTTTTATTTTGTAAATGGATTAACATAATTTTGAAATAAGTTAAAGATTTCTGAATATCACTTTATGTTAATACTTTTAAAGGCATGGAATACAAAGTAAGCAAATTATCACCATCATGGAGTTATTTGGAAATGGAACAAGAAGAAATCTGTTCTCAATTGGCAGATTATGAATATAGCCCCTTTTCAGTGTAGAAATATTGAATAAGTACTGTGATATTCCAGTCCAAACATTAACTGGAGCAAGTACCACGTTATCATAGTAGAAATAAGAAGACTCAATAGCATCTTCTGGAAGTGTTCTTTGAGTTATATGATCTGGTTTGCTATGAACCCCAAAAACCAATCATTAGATTTGAAAGATGAATTTGCTCATAGTAGAAATAAGAAGACCCAATAGTATCTTCTGGAAGTGTTCTTTGAGTTATCTGATTTGATTTGGTATGAACCCCAAAACCAATCATTGGATTTGAAAGAATCATTTGCTCATAGTAGAAATAAGGAGACCCAATAGCATCTTCTTGAAGTGTTCTTTGAGTTATCTGATTTGGTTCGGTAGGAACCACAGAACCATTCATTAGAATTGAAAGATGAACTGCATGATCGTCTTCATTAAGAAGCTTCTTTTCAAGCTTCCTCTGCTTCTTTTTTAAGAAAATCATAGCCCAAGTTTCACCTTTTCTTGTAATTGGGATCATTGTGTATCAGCAGCCTTAGCAATTTGAGCAGCACATATAAAATCTGTCAACTCTATAATTGATGAATCAGGATTATATATCCATGGCTATTGAAGACATATCATTTGAGTATCCCATTTTCGTCAAGTATAAACAGTTTACTCTCCTCATCAGAATCAGAATTCAAGATTTCCTCGGTATCAAAAGAACTATCAATATCTGTGAAATCATCTTGAAAGATCACTTCATAATCAGATGAGTTGTTATCAGAATCAACATGTTGCATGAGTGCGAGCTTTTCAAGAGCCTATACTATTGAGTTTTATTCTCAAGTGGTTTTTTGACATTATGCAAAAATTCAGGCATATCTACATCTACACTCTTCAAGGATGATAGATTTCTCCATTTGAAGAAGAAAGATTTATTGAATTTCTACACAACTGAAGAAATACTAAGTTTACCAATTTGAAATCAAATAAAAATAAACTTAACATTCATGCATCATATTTAGGCATTTGCAAAAATAAGTGCATTTTCATTCATTTTATCCATGTTGAATTTTGACAAGAATTTTAAAGATTTTAGCAAAGATTTAAATCCATCATTCAATGGATCATCAACATTTCCAGTTCGAGTTCATAATGAGAAGAATTCATCTGAAGAAAGAAGAATTTGTTCAACATTTTGCTCAAATTCATCATTCAATGGATCAGCGTTGCCAGAAGGTTCATAATGAGAAGAACTTATCTGAAGAGAAAGAAGAAGTTCATAATGAGAAGAGCTTGTTCAATTTTTTTGCTTGACTCTATCACAGAAGAAGATAGATCAGCATTAACATTTCCAGTTCGAGTTCATAATGAGAAGAACTCATCTGAAGAAATGAGAATTTGTTCAACCTTTTGCTCAAATTCATCATTCAATGGATCAGCGTTGCCAGAAGGTTCATAATGAGAAGAACTTATCTGAAGAGAAAGAAGAAGTTCATAATGAGAAGAGCTTGTTCAATCTTTTTTTGCTTGACTCTATCACAGAAGAAGATAGATCAGCATTAACATTTCCAGTTCGAGTTCATAATGAGAAGAACTCATCTGAAGAAGGAAGAAGAAGTTCATAATGAGAAGAATTTGTTCAACCTTTTGTTTGAATTCATCATTTGATGGATCAACATTGCCAGGTAGAGTTCATAATGAGAAGAACTCGTCATCTGAAGAAGAAAAAAGAAATTCATAATGAGAAGAATTTGTTCAACCTTTTGCTAAATCCATCACTTGATGGATCAGCTTTTCCAGAGAAAGTTCATAATGAGAAGAACTCATCTGAAGAAGAAGAAGTTCACAATAAGAAGAGCTTGTTCAACCTTTTGCATAATTCTATCACAGAAAGAGATAGATTAGCATCAACTTTTCCAGAGAAAGTTTATAATGAGAAGAACTCATCTGAAGAAAAAAGAAGAAGTTCATAATGAGAAGAACTTATTCAACCTTTTGAATGACTCTATCACATAAGGAAATAGGTCAACATCATCCCCAGCGGAAAGTTCATAATGAGAAGAACTCATCTGAAGAAAGAGAAGAATTTATTCAATATTTCCATCATAATCAAGTGAAGTCAAATGGATAAAAAAATTATTATCTTTTCATCTTTGCCCTATTCTTGTTAACACAAGAATGAGCAAAGAGGGGCATCTGAAGATACTAATTTTTACCCATTTGTTTTTAATATTATTATTAATATATTATTATAATTTTATTTATTATTATTATTAAATAATTACAAATAATATTACAGGCCCAACAGACTGGCCCAAAAGAAACCCTAAAACCTATTTAGGGTTTGATCTCAGCTTCAGCCGTCGCTCTTCTCTCAGCCGTTGGATCAGACCTTGATCCAATGGTCTAAGGACCTCCAGATGCAAACCCTAGGGTATGATACCCTAGGGCCACGTCCCAGCCGCCGCTTTTGTTGTCTCCACCACCACGTTCAACGCCGCTCAGCCGCTGCCACGAAGCCTCCAAAAGAATTAAAGAGAACCGTCAACGTTAAGGGCTACGGTGAGTCACCACCTACGGTCTAGTGACTCACCGAATTCCACCCTTAGGACCGGTCCGAGACAAGCGCCGATGATGGCTATAAAACCATCACCCAACCTGCAAAGAAAAACGACAACCAACAGAGAGAGAAAAAGAAAAAAAAACCAACAGCCACAGAGAAACAAAACCGAGAGCAAAGATACAAAAATAGAGACCAACTCACAACAACCAGCAACCACAAACCCAAAAATAAGCAAGGAGAAAACAGAGAGATACTTACTGCAACATCACCGAAGCCTTCACACGTCATCGAAAACCTTCGAAAACCGAAGGTATTTTTGTAGATTTGCTCCGATCAGGATTCTTTTAAGGGATCGGAACCATCAATAGGATGGTTCGATCTATATTTAGGTGTAAAAAAAACTTTTTCGGCCACCGGATGCGGTGGCCGGCGACGGTGTTAACTCCGGCTAACAGCTGCCGGCCGGTGTGCTTCTCTCTGTTTTAGAGAGAAGCGAGAGAGTTTTAAACTCTCTCAAAGTCACTAAATCAAGAGGGAAGAGGATTTATAATCCTTTTAATTTGGTCTCTAAATTTTATTTTTTTATATTTTTCCGCCCTTAACCGTAATTATAAATATTTAGATAAAATACGTATTTAGTCTTAAATTTTAGTTTTAATAAATAATATTTTAATCCCGAGTATATAAATTTTAATTTTTTTTAATCTGATATTCGAATTTTATATAATTTATTTTAGTCACCCAAATTAATAAATAAGGAAAATAGCATGTTTAATCCCTATAATTTTAAATAATTAATTATGAATTAGGTATTTAATTTTATTAGATTATAATTTAGTCACTATTTTTAAATATTTTCATTTATTATAAAGTTTTATTGCTTTTAAATATATAGTTCTAATTTTATTTTTATTATTGATTATATATGTTTTAATTTTACTTGTTTATATTTTTATAATTATATAGACATATAAATATATATATAATAAATAAAATTTACATTTTTTACATAAATTATTTTTATCATATTTAATAATTATTTATTTTTCAATATCGAAGAAAATGACAGTCTTAATACAACTGGATGTCCTATTATGATATTTTAAAATTAAATATTATAAAAAAATTTTAATTTAATTTTATTTAAATTATTATTGTTAATTTTATTAATATCGAAGAAAAGAGCTGTCTTAAGGTACCTAGAAGTCCTTTTCTGATATTTCTAAATAAATATTTTATTTATAAATATATATAAATTAATATTTTTTTCTCATAATTATAATTTTGAAATAATAAGATTATAAATTAAATATATTTTGAATTTTTAAATTTCTAATAATAGAGACAATTTCTAATTAAAAAGTACCAAATTTGGGAGTTGTAGGGGTGCTAATCATTCCCTAAACGTAACCGACCACGAATCCCTTTTTATTATTAAAAAGAACGAATTTTTTGTTAAAACGCAGATCAGTTTATCTTTTAATCGATGTTTTCTTAAAAACTCTTTTAAAAGATGATTTTTAGGTATTCGACCTACCTAACCCAAAAGGCCGATGGCGACTCCCAAAATATTTTTTTTCAAAAAAATCAAAATCATTAATTTATTCATATCACTTTTCCCGCCAAGTAAAAATTCGTGCCCGGACGAAAACCGGTTACGACACACTGTATAATCTCCATATCAATGATAATGACCCATGCATTTCAGATTCCTCGTCCGACAGAAGCGTTTCACTATATTATAATAATTGGAGAAACATATTACATATGTAATTATACAAAAAAAATTATTTTTTTGGCATGCATTACAAATCAAATCTCTTATAAACAATTCCCTTGCATAACGTAAAACCAATGAAACAGTTCATTTCACACATAAATTCCACTTACTATAATTACGACATTGCAGACTTATTGTTTTCTCTTGGTGTGAAATCCTCGAAGTAATATATTTACATTAACCTTATAGTTGGAAAAATTGAGAATTAGGGTGAAATTAACACTTGCTCTTGTTCGGTAAGGGAATGACGGAAGTGGCACCTGTGACCGTACGGACAGGGCTCGCCGGAGAGAACAATCCGGCAAACCTGAGTCTTGTACCTTGGATGCCTGATAACCGGACGTAGCTCGGCGATACCATGGGCAAACTGGCAATGGTCTCCGTAAGGGCACGAGCCTATCTCTTGCCATTTGTTGCATAGCTCCGTCTTCAGCATTCCTTGATTGTATACCTCCATTTCATTGCCCTTCTCCCTTCTTTCCACCAATTCTACACCAACTCGCGTCTGCATATATTCCAAAATTTTAAAGGTTTATTTGGGATAAATTCATCCTAGAAAATACAAGAGAGACGAGCTCACCGTCACTGGGGGAGTGACGACTCTTTGCCGTGGGTTGACCTGAAGATAACTACGTGACCTGAATGAAGCGCTCTTCGGAAGTGAATTCTTCTTCAGATCCGGTAGTTTTTCGCACTGAAGGATCCTGTTGTTCATGGCGGCTTGGGACGAGAGGCTCAAAAACTTGATCAACTCGGTATTGGCCACCTTAAGATCTATGTTCTCTTTACGCAGCGTTTCAAGCTCTCCCATGAGAGCCTGTAGGCGAGAGAAGCAAAGGTCGAAGTGGTCACTCAGCTGCTGACACTCGAGGATAAGACGAGCGTGGTTGAGGCGGTGCTCGGTGGCTAAATTGTCCGATGCGAGCTTCAGGTCGTCGGAGGATGAGGAAGATGAAGGGGTGAAGGAAAGGGAGTGAGGGAGAGTAGAATTTGGTGAGAAAATGAAGTTGTACATGGAAGAGAAGTCGGTGGTCAGATCTTGGTCATAATCATATCGAAGCAGAGACGGCGGTCGAGATACGTAGTTTAAATTCTCTGCTGCAGCGGTGGCAACGGTGGAGGTGGTGTTTAAAGCGGAAGACGGAGATGCTGGTTTCTCCATGACGAAGACTTCGAAAAATCGGCTCCCGACAAGGAGGCTTACGAGACCGTTAGTGCTCTTAAATAAAGAATTGTAGCAGTTGACGTAGAAGGAAGAAAAGGTAAGAAACAATAAGGATAAAAATAAAAAGACATATTTATATGGGAATTTTAGAGCATAGGTGAGTGGGGTAAAAGGTGTTTGGTTGGAGGGAATGTTTGGCGTGGTATGAAAGCATGTGAGTTGGAGAAGAAACGGTGTCTTTTATTCGATAATTCCTGTATTTATGTTTTCTTAAATTTTAATGATACTTTTATACAAAATTAAAATTGAATCCTAGAATTATATCGATTTATAGTTTCATGATACTTTTATACAAAATTAAAATTTTAACAATATATGATGCAGTTTATCTATAAATCTACACACAACAGTTAAGTACATAACATGTAATTATGGGATTAACTATAGGCTATAAATTTATACACTTACAACTTTTTATATTTATATAAGTTTTAATTCACTACCGATTTGTAGCACTTACAAATTTAATACTTTAATTAAGATCATTACTATTAATGAGAATTTTTTCATACATGCACTTAAAATGATAATTACTAGGGATTAATATAGTGAGAAGTGTTATATTTTTTTTATTCTTAAATTTATAACAAGTGTGTTTATCATGACTGCTATTATTTGAATAAAATTCTTCACCAACAATACACCAAATAATTAATACATCAATTTTAATTCTAATGTTGTATAATCATTTTCAGTTACCAGTTTAGCTGCTATGATGAGTAAGCTAAGATTAAGAGATGGTTTTTGTGAAGTAATATTTAGGTAGGATCAATAATTATTATATTTTGTTGTTTCCATTTCACAACTTTAACTAACCATGGACCTCTTCAATCCAAGATGTGTTGCCTAATCTATCTTGTTATATAACCAACAACCACTACTGTTATATTTCCCCGTAATTTATTAAATAATATATTGACATGTTTTTTTTGTCCTCTCAGTTTCGCCCAGATTAATCCGGACCGACTTGCGTCTCACATCTGACTTTGGTGAGTGAGTCTCCCAGCCCAGCGGAAATTTTTTACATACACAATGACTCAAACCCGAAACATTGCTTAAGCGATATCAAGTTGCTTACCACTTGAACCGATCCCGATAGTGTTATATTTGGAGTATATCGGATGAGTTTTCTTCTAAACTAATCACAATTGGAACGTAGTAATCACAAGCGTTAGTTGGCTTCATAGTTTTCTTTTATTCATAATATTTTCATCAACACTTTTAATATAATAACTTTTTTTGGAATATACTAAACTTATTGCTTACTAATCAAGTTTGTTTGATACATTGAAAATATGTATTTTTTTCATTATATAGATACGAGTAATTATGGACAAACGGTAATTTCTTATTTTTGATTAATATATCATATGAATATTCATGTAATATTATTATAAACTTATTTTGAATGCTATTCTTTTCACTAGCTAATGCTTAATTATCTTTCATTAATAACTAACTAATTAATTAATTAATGACAAATGAGGCGTCGTTATCATATGGTGTTGTATTTAATGAAGTGAAAATGATTTTGTTGAGAGAAGGCGTTGGTTGGTCAATTCTTGTGTCAATAGCTTCCAACAACAAGCCCTTATTTTATGTAGAAAAGAAGGATGACACGAGAATCATTTTTGTGTTATATTATCCACAAATTAGTGAGAAATGAGTGAAGGGAAAATTAATTAATTAAAGATTCTTTACTATAAATATAAATAAAGTACAAACGTATGGAGCCAAAATGAAAAGATTCTTGTAGAAATTAGAATGGCGCATGTAATATTGGCCATTGGGAGTCCAATTGTCGTAATATCCACCAAGTACGGTTCTCAAGTAATAGATTCCCCCTTAAAATTATATGTATTCCTAGCGGAGAATATACTATTTAGTCATCTTGGCGGATAGAATTCGATACTTTTTTATTAGTGTCAGCCGATTATAATGTAATATCTATTTGAACGATTTTCAATCATTTAATAACATCTTTGTAGACGATGTGCTAGAACCCAAGACCTCTATAAATGATAATCATCTTTTTAACCACTGAAGTCGATTGATTCTTGCTAAAATTCAATATTTTATTTAAAACAATAGTTCATAATAAAAAAAAATCTAAATGTTCACTCTTTTTTATGTCGTTTTTCTTATATTTTTTTCAACATCGATGATTATATCAATTGTTGAACTATGTTTTGATATAACAATTTAAGGCAAAATGGTTTTTGGACTTGAATTGAATTTACAAAATGTTTTTGGACTTAATTGAATTTATTCAAAGTTTTAAAATGTTTCAAAAATAATTCAAAGTCCATTAAATTCGGATTTGAGCCAAATGCTAAAATGTGTCAAAGTGCATCCATGCACCCCTGCAGTGCATCCATGCATCCCTGCAGTACATCCATGCACCTGCACTAGTGCATCGATGTACCATGCAGTGCATCCATGCACTCAAACACCGAATGCAATTAGTGCATCGATGCATCCTTCTGTGCATCGATGTATCAAGGTTGTGCATCGATGCATCTTGTTGTGCATGGATGCATCCTGTTGTGCATCCATGCATGAAGGTTGGAACGACTAGTAACGGCTAGTTTATTTGAATTTAATGAAGGGTATCGATGCACCTTGATAGTGCACCGATGAGAAAAATTATCCTCAAACGGCTCCAAAACATCCCCAACGGTTATATACGACATCAAACACATTCCAAGCTAAGGACACTTGAAGAATAGAGAGAACAACTATCCAAGCAATCAAACACAAGAGAAGAGTTTTTTATTCTTATTTCATCTTTCTCTTGTAAATATTTTGTTCTTGTGAGCTCAATCTTGTAAACACCTGCCTTAGAGAGGTTTTCTTGTTTACATCTTTGATCCTTTTGTAAAGGGGAAAGGTTCTAGCTTATCCCGTGTAAAAGCTAGGGAAAGATTCTAGTTTAGCCCAGAAAAACTAGGGATTTGTAAGGTTATCTCTTTGTCCTCAAAAGAAAGAACAAATTAGTGATTTTGTTGGAAATCCTTGGCGGAGCTAAGGTAGTGAATGTAGACTTTAGTTGAGAAAGTCGTACCATTCTAAATCGCTGTGCAATTTTTTATCTTTCAATCTTCTTACTCCCTAAACACAAAACCGTTCCGACCCCTCTTTGCAAACCGTTCCAATTATCGAATCGAGCTTCCAAAAATCCCAACAATTGGCATCAGAGCCTAACTCGTTAAGAAGGTTTAACCACCTTGAGACGATCCTCGAAGAAGCTCTACCAATTCCCGACGCAACCGACAAAGAAATGACTTTTTCCTCCAGTACTTATTATCTTGAAGAATATCCCATTATGGATTCACAACCGGTCAACAAGCCACCCTTCTTCAATGGAGCAAATTATGCATATTTGAAGAATAAGATAATGTACTTTATTCAATCCTACAATCTAGGAGCTTGGAACTCAATCATGGATGATTACTCCTCTCCACCCGGCAAGTACAACGATTGGAGTAGAGAAGAGCAGAAGAATTTCCAGCTTAACTCTAAGGCTATACGTATTCTATTATGTGCTTTAGGCCCAAATGAATATGGAAGAATCTCATCTTGTTACAGTGCCAACGTGATTTGGGATAAGCTCCAAGTCACTCATGAAGGAACCGACGAAGTGAGGGAATCAAAGAAAAGTCTTCTCAACCATAGCTACGAGAACTTCAAGATGAAACCCGATGAAGACATCAAAACTATGACGGATAGATTTTCTGTGATTGTCAACGGTCTCAAGGGATATGGAGAAGTAATCCCTAAAGAGAAGCTTGTGAGGAATATGATATACTCTATTCCAAAGGAGTGATAATCGAAGAAGACGACCATTATCGAAGCAAGAAACTTAAAGTCTCTCACTCTCGACGAGCTAATTGGTTCCCTTCTCACTCATGAGATGATGGTGAAGGAAGATGAAGAAAAGGAAGAGAAGAAAAACAAGAAGAAGAAGAAGGTAGGCATTGCCTTCAAATCCACCAATGAAAGCTATCAAGATTCAAGTGATGAGGTGGATGAAGACGATGATGAACAAGAAGAATAGATGGTCAAGCTCTTGAAGAAACTCAAGAGATTCATGATTTCCAAGGAAGTGAAACATGAATCAACCAAGAAGAAGAGTCCCCCGATATGTTTCAATTTTCAAAGAAAGGGGCATGTCAAGTATGAATGTCCTCTTCTAAAGAAAAAGGGGAAGAAGGCATTTGTTGCATCTTGGAGTGATGAAGATGATTCCAATGATGAAGATGAAGTAGTCAACCTATGCCTCATGACCACTCAAGAAGAATTCGAGGTATCTTCTAACTCAAATGAATTTAATTCATTTACTTTTGATGAGTTACAAGATGCTTATAATAGGTAGTATTTGGGATTTGAGACAATGAATTCCAAATATACGAAATTAATTTTGAAAAGTAATTTAGAGCGTTCAAAAATCAAAATAAATGATTTAGAAAAAGAAAATTTTGAGTTAGGAGTTAAGCTTGAAGGCTTAACAAAAGAAAAAGAATTAATTTCTAAAAATAACCTATTATGTTTAAAAATGGAAAAATGCTCACATTGTCATTTTTATGGTCATTTGGAACATACTTGTCCTTTAAAGAAATGAAAACATTTTAAAATTAGACAAGTATGGGTTCTTAAGGGAACAAGGGGCATTGAAACTAACGTCCAAGGATCCAAAGCAATTTGGATACCAAAATCGAAATGAATGTCTCTTGTAGGTGTGTGGGAGCAATGGTGATGAAGATGATGATATTCAAGATGCTCTAGCCACACATAAAAAAGAATGGTAACCTCTAAGCTTAATGTTTTTTAATTTTAGTTATTTGGTTGCTCATAGGATTTATGCATGCATGAGTTTTGATTTTAAATGATTATGCATTGTTTTTAATCTCATGTATGTTTAAAAAATGGTTATGATG